CAGAGGTTAGAGTGATGCCATTGTTGGCTTTGAAAGAAGTGCCCACAAGCTATAGGATGTGGACAGCCTCTAGAAGCTGGAAAAGGCAAGAAAGCAGATTCTCCCCTAAAATCTCCAGAAGGAAGGCAGCCATGACAACACCCTGAGTTTAACCCCATAATACTTCCTCCCAACAGAACACAAAGATAATAAATGTGAGTTGGTTTGGAAAATTCCTCTAATACGTCTCTTAATATATATCTCCTACCGGTTCTTCTATTCTGATTGAACCCTGAGTAACATACATGGGAACCACTTTGATTCCCTTTTTAAAATACATGAAATACCAAATTCATTGAAAGCTTTCGTTGGGCCCCTTGTTTTGTTGACAGCTTCAGGTTTTCTAAGCTCTGGGAAAAGAGTGAGGAACAAGACATCAAGTTTCTACATCTGTAAAATTGCGCTAATCAGCATACTTCCTAGGGTTATTTATACTGATTAAATAAGTCACTGAGCATAATGCGCTTGAGCAATGCCTGGTACAGAGTAAGGGTTCAAGAAATGTTAGAAGGTGCCTGGCTGGTGCAGTCGGTTAAGCTTCTGACTTGGTTTGGACTTGGGTCACAACCTTGGGGTCATGGGATCCGAGCCCAGTGTCATGCTCCACACTCAGCACAGAGTCTGCTTGTCCCTCTCCCTCCCCCACTGCCCTTCCACCCCCCCACACACCCCTTGTGCTCGTGCTTATGCTCTCTCTCTAAATCAATGAAATCTTTTTTTTTTTTTAAGTTAGAAGAGGTAAGGAATGGAAGAAAGGCAGAAGAGAGATACAATCTCCCTGCTTCCAAGGGGCTTAGATCTAACTGGAGGAAACAGAATGATAAACTCAGGAAGGAAAAAAGAAGAAGGAAGGAAAGAGGGGAGGGAGGAAAGGAAAGGGGAAAAAATCTGACCCTGATAAGTGCCTCAGAAACACTTATGTTTAACACTTCATACCGGGGTCAGCAGCCCTACCCCTCAGGGGCAAATCAGCCTGCCACCCTCTATGTAATTGCTTGTGAGCTGGGAATAGTTTCCATGTTTCCAAATGGTTGAAAACAAGTATCATGAAAATGCCAAGAAATTCAAATCTCAATATCCATGAAGTTTTATTGAAACAAAGCCATACTTATTTAAATCATCTAATGTTGCTTTCCCACTGTAAAGGCAGAGTCAGATTGTTGCAACAGAGATCTGAATGCCCACAAAACCTAAAATATTTACGGTCTGGCTCAGTACAGAAAAAGTTTGCTGGCTCTTGCTTTAGGCTGAGTGGTCAGGGAGGCCCTCCCTGAGGAGATAACATTTAAGCTGAGACCGGACTGGCAAGAAAGAGGAAGGTTGGGGGTAGGAAGGCAGAAAGAACAGAGAACTAAGGTTAGTTATCATATAACTATAACGATCATTTATTATTGAGTATAATACCTATACTATATGAACTAGAGCTTCTCTCTAATCCTATAACAGCCTTCCAAAGAGGGGATCTGTCAAAAATTATGATGGGGGGAGGGGTCACCTGGATGGCTCAGTAGTTGAGAGTCTGTCTTCGGCTCAGGTGGTGATCCCGGGGTCCTGGGGTCAAGTCCCACATCGTGTTCCCTGCAGGGAACCTACTTCTCCCTCTACCTATGTCTCTGCCTCTCTCTCTGTGTCTCTCATGAATAAATAAATAAAATCTTAAAAAAAAAAAACTTATGGGACTCAACCAGGACCTGTTCTAGCCTCTTTTTGGCCTGGCACAGCACAGGAGCCCAGGATCTGTGTGTTGAATAGCTTTGTTTGCCTTTCTGGGAGTAATGATTTTAGATTGGTTCCCAGGAATAGGTGAGAAGGGCCTGGGATTTGCTCTCAGGCCCAAGGGTAGGTGTTCTATGGACTCCTATTTGGCAGCATGCCAATGAGCGTCACAAAACTGGCCCTGATAACAGGATCTGTGGCAAAGGCAGTGGGTGGAATGCCAGGTAGAATGGGGCAGCCCTCAGAGAATTCAGGAAGCTGCTTTCATCCTGAGTGGCCCTACAGCTGGCGGCTTGATACAAAAAATCCTACCCCCAGTTTGTAGGGGCCAGACTCCAGCCAGGGGTCTTCTGAGAGAAGACTCAGAAGAGAACCTGACTCTGAATCTTCTCTGAGCCAGTTCACTTCTGCCAGGCTCTGTGATATAGGAGAGAAATGGGGTGTTGGCCCTATTTTAGAGCCAGAGAAATTCAGGTGGTGGAGAGCTACAAGGGATACTTGGTAAAAAGACTCTGAATCCCAGCCTCAACATTTCCCCAGTGTGTGATTTCAGGCAGGTGGCTTCCCTTTATAGATATGATAGTATCTCCCTCAAAACAACAACAACAAAAGTACAGAATTAAGGAAACAATAGCTCAGCACCACACCTACAGGAAGAACTCAATAAACATTGCCTGATCCTAAGCACATTCCCTCAGTTAGCTGTGACAACAGCTCTAAGAGAGTCTAGATGGCAGAAGATTCTGGGCAGGAGCCGGACAGATCTTGTCTCCACTCAGTTCTTCAGGGCCAAATCCTTGAAATCATCCTGGACTCCTCTCTTTCCTTTAGACACCACAGTCCCTCAGCAAATGCTGCCTTCAGTATACACCCAGAGAAGCCAAACGTTCCTGTCATCTCCAAGACATCACCTTAATCCAAACTGCTATCACTTCTCACCCAGATTAGCACAAAAGCCTCTTAAGCTGTCAGAGGGCTGCCAACTCCCCAACTCCCCACAAGCAAGCAGAGGGGTCCCGATAAAAGTCAGGTCAGAACACTCCTCAAAATCCTCTGTTTCCTAGCACTTCTAGAGTTAACTCACTTCTTTATTTGTTCAATGATCATTTATTATTGAGTATCTACTATGTGCTAGGTGCTGTTCTAGACACAGGAGATAAAACAGAACAAAACAGACAAAAACCTCTGCACTCAGGAAGTTTATATCCTCCTAGAGGGAGGACAATAAGCCAATGTAGAAGTAAAACATACCATATGTTAGGTGTCATGGAGAAAAATAACTCAGGGAAGGAGATGGGGTTTGGTATTTTAAACAGGGTGGTCAGCATATGTGTAATGAATAAGGTAAGGGTTAAATAAAAAGTCCAAAAGTGGTAAAAGGTGAGATCCAAGGGGCAACTCACATGTGGAGTATTCTAGACAAAGGCCTGAGCAAGTACAGAGGTGGAAGTGTTCCTGATGTGTTTCAAGCACACAGAGGAAGTCACTGTGACCACAGCAAAAAACGTGCAGGAGGGGGGAGAGTGGATTGAACTCAGACGGGTAAAGGGGGCCTCAGAGGGGTAAAGGGGACTGGGTTGTTGAGTCCTGTGGGTTCTCCAAGTCTTTTTTTTCTTTGATTGAGACTAGAAGCCAGTGGAGGTTTTATTTTACTATTATCATAATAATAATAGAGAGAGAGAGCACAAGCAGGTAGTGAGGTAGAGGGAGAGGGAGGAGCAGGCTACCGCTAAGCGGCAAGCCCGATGCAGGGCTTGATCCCAGGACCCTGAGGATAATGATTTGAGCTGAAGGCAGACATTTAACTGACTGAACCACCCAGGTGCCCCTATGGTTATTATTATTTTTTAAAAAAATTTTTTATTTATTCATGAGAAAGAGAGAGATGGAGACATAGGCAGAAGCAGGCTCCTTATGGAGAGGCAGATGCAGGACTTGATCCTAGGACCCTGGGATCATGCCTTAAGCCAAAGGCAGACGCTCAACCACTAAGCCACCCAGGCATCCCTATTATTATTATTTTTAAAGATTTTCTTTATTTCAGAGATCACAACTGGAGGGGAGGGAAGGGACAGGAGAAGCAGACTCCCTACTAGATGCGGAGCCTGAACCAGGGCTCTATTCCAGGACCCTGGGATCATGAACTGAGCTGAAGGCAGATGCTTAACCCAATTAACCACTGAGCCACACAAGTGCCCCACCAGTGGTTTTAACTTAAGTAGGGCAATGACTGGGGTTTTAAAGAATCACTAGGCTGGGCATGTGGCTGGCTCATTTGGAAGAGCATGTGACTCGATCTTGGGGTCGAGAGCTGAAGCCCCATGTTGGGTGTAAGGATGACTCAAGTAAATAAAAAACTTAAAAAAAAAATTTTTTTTTTCAGGATCATTGGGGCCCACTGTGTGGAAGACCACAAGGAGCAGCCAGCAGAGCCAGTGAGACAGTTTACAGTTCAGGCAGCTACAACAGCTGTTAGGAGATACGATGGCTTGGAGCAAGGAAGGAGGTGGTGTCTATTCAAAAGCCTTACCCAAGAGTAGGAGCCCTCCTGATGGGGTCCCTCTTCCCCACCCCCCCAACAAGCTATGTTCCTTCCCTCCTGTATCCCGTAGGCCACAAACCATAGCTAGGCACATACACGTGTGTAAAGAGTATTTGTTGACTCAGTGAAAGAATTAGTGAATGATCCAAGCCTAGAGCATCATCATCACCTATTATTATTACTTTTTTTTTAAGATTTTTTTTTTTTTTTTTAGGGAAAGAGAGCGTGAGCAGGGGGTGGGGCAGAGGGAGAAAAGCAGATTCCCAGCTAAAGGCAGAGCCCCAGGCGGGGCTGGATCCCACCACCCTGAGATCCTGAGCTCAGTGCAAATCAAGTCAGAGGCTTAGTCAACTGAGCCACCCGGGCGCCCCCACTAACGATAGGCATATAGTCAGAATTCAGTAAATGTTTGCAAATAGAGTACAGCACAATTCTGCAAGGCCAGGTGGCTAGTCCTCTTTGCAACGAGGAAGACTGGGGCTGGGACAGGAAGGTGCACCCCCGGGTCCCTCTGCACAGCCTAGACTGGAAGCTTCCTTCTAGCCAAGTCCTGGACACTGGGTGGAGAGTGCTAGCTCTCAGGGTGAGTCACGATGACTTCACAGGAGTTTCCGTCAAAGTTTCTCCGCCCTGAGATGAAGAGAAGCCGAAACTTCACGAGGCCAGGAGGTCAGCGGGCCCAAGGAGGTCAGGCGTCCTAAAATCGCCCTGGCCGGGTCCTCCCACCTTCAGGCTACAGAGACGAGGGGCCAGAAGGGCCGCCCGCTCACGGCCGAGGCCCCGCCCCCCGCTCGCCGGCCAGCCCGCGCCTCCAGCGGAAGCCGGAAGCAAAAGCGGTCCCAGCTAGCCCCTGGCTCCGAACTCGGTGGTCTTGGAGGCTCCGCAGGATGGGGGAGAAGATGGCGGAAGAGGAGTGAGTGGGCTTTTCCCGGGCGGCGGAGGCGGCGGGGCTGGGCCCCGGCGGGTGACAGCGAGCGCCTCGGGCCGCCCTCCGGCCCCGAAAGGCGGAGCTGCTTGTGTCGGTTGGCCGGGACTGACCCTGCCGGCGCCAGCGAGGAGGGCGGGAGGGACGGGCCTGGGCCCAGCCCGGCCCCGCAGCCTCCTGGGGGTCGGATCCTCGTGCAAGGACTCGACAGCCCAGGGCAGGCCTCGAAAGGCGCCTGGCGGAAACTGAAACCCAAATTCTGCTTCCCCGGTTTTCGATCTTCTGATGATTAGGGAGAGCTCCGCCGCCTCCTCCAGGAAGTCTCCCACCCCCACTTCACCCCCCACCCCTCTACTTAGCCAGTCGCCTCCTCTTCCACCGTAACGGTCATTTTTCGCATCTGTTTCCTCCACTGAGTTTCATTCATTCGTTAACTGTTGGCCATTTACTCTATTCCAGGCCCTGGGCACATAGTAGTGAAGGAGGCCGACCAGGAGCTGCCCTCAGGTAGTTTCCATTCTAGTGGGGAAAAGACCGTACGCAGGCGAGGTGGTGTCAGAGCTCGAAAAGGAAATGGCAGTGTTAGGATGGGGGAGTCCCCTTAGGAGAAAGGACGTGCCTGTCGAAACTTTGATGATGAGAAGGAGGGTTGGGAGAGGGAACAGGCAAGTGCAAAAGGCTAGAAGCAAGAAAGAGCTTCATGTCTTTGAGGAGCAGAAAGACAGGCAGGATGGCTGGAACAGAAAGAGTGAGGGGGGCTAGGTGTACAAGATGAGACAGGGATGGGGGCAAGGGGTCCCGTGTCCTCCAGGTACTTACCCGCCAGGACCACTCTTTAGCTGGTCTCGGTATCCACTGGGCACAACCTGTTTCATGCTATATAGATGCCCTACCTGTATGAGCCGGTTTGTAAAAACAGTAACAAGGAACCCCCCATGGTTGAATTCAGAGTCCCTCACCTGACATCTTTGCAGACGTGTCTCGGCTGGCTGGGTGGTCCTTTCATTTCCTACTTGCTCAGCACATGCACCACTGGCAGACACCAACCTGGGCATCCGCAGCATAAAGCAGTGGCCCTGTGATTACACGATTGGTCTCAAACCTGGTTCTGCCACCGGTTAATTGAGATACTGGGCAGGTTACGCAACCCCTCTGAGCTTCAGTTATTCATGGGTGAAAAAGTGAAAGGAATAGTGCCCACCTCAGGCCTGGTGGGCCCATTAAATGAGAGGTTGTAGGTGACCTTGTTCCTGGAGTGAAGCATTGACTCAATAAACATGAGCTGTTATAATCACAGTTGCAATGGTTATTATATGAATATTGCCCTAGTTTACAACAGTCCCACCCCAAAGTGAGGAGTGTGCACTGGGAGGAACATAAGAGGTGGGGTGGGTGCAGTATTACGGAGGAGGTTACATTTGAGCCTTTAGAAATCTGAAAAGGATTCTGTAAAGCAGGGTGGGGTGTACCGACCAGAATCAACAATTGGGTAAATTTGGGTGGCTTCTTCAACCTGCTGCTATAATTCAAGGAAAAGAATGTAAATAGGAGAAATAACAGCGCCAAGTAAATAGCACTGGATCCTGGAATGTGATGAGACTTCAGTTTGTCTCCATTTAAATCCCTCATTAAATGCCAAAGAGCAGGCAGTGTTTTGTGTCTACATGGGCCCTGACTCCCCCTTGTTGCTGTTCTCTGAGTGGCTGTGTTCAGAGCACCTGAAGCCCCTGGTACTCTCCTGCTGTGGCAGGCAGGAATTCTCTGAATCAGTGTCTCTCTTAGGCCTGCTTGGTGGTTGTAAGAGTTGTGAATCCCGTCATCCTCTGTGCCAGGTTCTCCTTCTGTTTGTGTATATGTGTTGACACTTGGGGCCCTTTTCCCTTTAACTAATCCTGCTGCTTTTTGTGTCCAACAGGTTTCCTAACACAACTCATGAAGGTTTCAATGTCACCCTCCACACCACCCTGGTTGTCACTACGAAACTGGTGCTCCCGACCCCTGCCAAGCCCATTCTCCCTGTGCAAACAGGGGAGCAGGCTCAGCAGGAGGAACAGTCAAGCGGCATGACCATCTTCTTCAGCCTCCTCGTCCTAGGTGAATGTGGAGACACCCTCATCTGCCATCTTGAGTGTCTGTGTGTGTTATCTAGAAGGTCAACCCTGTCTAAGCCACCATTTACTTAATATCAAGCCTTCCTTCCATTTGGTTTGACATCAGACACTGAGGGACAATGATCAGTTAGTTCGTAACATCACAACAGGGTGCTCCTTTTTCTTTCTAAATCATTGAGCTTAGCAATTCTGAAGAGCTCTTTATATAGTATCTTAGATGTCATTTGGAAGAAGGGATTTTTGACCCAGAAAGAACCTTGAACTTCTTCTAGCTTAGTGGATTTCAAACCCTGCTCATGAGTGTGTGTGTGTGTGTGTGTGTGTGTATATGTGTGTGTGTGTAGGTGGTGGTAGTAGTAGCAGGAGGTGGGCTAAGTCAAATGGGAGAGCATCTGACTTTCTGACCAGAGCAGCATTTGGTCTCCTATCTATTAGGCTTCCATGTAAATTTTGCTTAATTAAAGGTTTTGTTGCTGAGTAAAAAATCCAACACTCCTTTCCTTACCCTATTATCTGAGCTAATCAACCATGGTATGATTTTTTCCCATATCTGTATACCACCTACGCTGTTGTTTACTTATGTAATATTTTTCTTTGAACAGATTCACTCTCAAACTTAAAAGTCTCGTTCTGTTCATCCTCCTCCAGTAATGGGTGAGAAAATTTAGGCCCAGAGAGATTAAGCAATTGACATGCCTCGTTTCTGGGGAGACTAGAGATTAATATTTGGGTTGCCAGACATCAGTTAAGAAGTTTTGGTAAAAGGCAATACATTAGATGCCTCCTCGAGACTGTAGACAGCTGTCTTAGACAAGAAAATCCAGTTGAAACTGGACAACCACTTTGGACTAACTAAGGAAGAAATAGCTTGAAACTTGGCCCAAATCCAAACTCTTCCTGGAAGAGTGAAGTTGGCATATTTACATTTTGTTTTTCTTTAATGATACTGAGCCATATTTTGAATTAGATTAGGTCTCTTCAGAGGACTAGGAAGTACAACTGGATTAAAAGGTGCAGAGCATTTCACTGATGTCATTGAGGACTTTTTTGAAGAAAACTAGAACTTATTTCATATTTATATTTGGATTCTGCTAATGGTCAAATAATTTTAATAAACCAATCACTTGATTTAAAGTCGCAGGACTCAGCCTTATCTCTCACAGATTCTAAAAAACCGTTAAATTGGGGCCACCTACATGGCTCAATTGATTGAGCATCCAACTCTTGGTCTCAGGTCTTGTGCTCACGGTTGTGAGTTTCAAGCCCACGCTGGGTGAGGAGCCTACTTTAAAAAAAAAAAAAGATACACACACACACACATGACTTTTAAGTGGAATACTGAAAAAGTACACAAACCACAAGCATGAAGTATCCCATACGGACCTGATATGCTCAAGTAATTGTGTACCTGGTGAAGGTAGTTGAATTCTGCATCTAGGGGATTCCTTCAACAATCAAGGACTCTTCTTTTTTTCCTTTTTCCTCTGTGATAGTAGTTGAATATAAAGAAAAGCAGTTTTGTTTTCTTTTTTTTTTGTTTTTTTTTTAGCAGTTCTTTTCTTGATCAAGAAGTCTTTAGTACCTGAATCTGTAATCCTGAAGGACGAGTATTACTAGCCTCTGTACATTGTTGTCAGTTTGATATGGTAGGATAGCATACAAGGCAGGCCTGGATGCAAACCTTTGTTTTGTAGTGACGTGTTTTCACGGGAAGATAAAAGTGGTAAGTCAGACTTTCAAGGTGATTTTCAGGGTGTGGAGCAATGAAGGTTAGTTTCTGACAGAAACCACGAAACAGGTTGTTAGTACTTTTTAATCCTGGCAAAACCCTGTGCAGTGGTAACACATCTTTGGGGCTGGAAAGGTCTGAACTGTATTTATGAGTGCTGTGTATTTTACTTGGATTGCCATTTCAAACAGATCATAAACCTAGACTCTAGAGTCACACTAGCATCAGATGGGTTTTGTTTTCACCTCGTCAGACTGTTGGCAGTCTGAATTGGTATCTCCACTTTTTATGTGTAAGTCAGTATGTGTTAGCAGAATGGAATGCTTTCTTTTTCAATAAATTTGAAGGCATTTTTGCTTTTTTCCTGTGTGTTATCAACAGAATATTATATATCTCATATATTAGATGTCCAGACAATATATATCTGATAAAGTATAAAAAAATTTACAGCTAATGGATATCTTGCTAACTCACTAAGTACATGAACTGCAGTGAATTGAGGAAACTACTAGTCATAGTTTATTCTAAACTTCAGGAACTCCCAAACTGGAACACATTTAACCACTTCTGTTTATTATTTTTTAGAGATTATTTATTTACTTGAGAGAAGGAGAGTGCATAAGCACAAGTGGTGAGAGGGGCAGAGGGAGAGGGAGAAGCAGACTCCCCACTGCACATCTTTTAGGAAAATACTATTTTCTTTATTTTATATATATATATTTTATTTATTTGACAGAGACAGAGCACAAACGGGGAGCAGTAGGCAGAAGGGGAGGGAGAAGCAGGCTCTCTGTTCAGCGGAACTACAGTCCAAGACCTATGATATCAAGACCTGAGCTAAAGGCAGACACTTAACCTACTGAGCCACTGGGATGCCCCTTTTTACTATTTTAGTCAAGTCAAATGAAAGTGTAATTTATGTCTTATAAGCTTGTCAGAGGATTACAGTGTGTGCTCCCCCTTTTTTGAGGAAGGATGATAAAACTCTGGTTACTCTAGTTACTTTTGACTTTAGAAGCTTGAAATCAGTTGACTTACACTTAACCCTTGCTGATCTTTGAGACTGAAGAAACAATGGTGAGTCATTTTTATTGAGTTAACAATTAGCATTGTATGATACATTTTATGGGCCATTAAGTTTAATGGAGTTATTAAAATTGATATACCTATGTTTTAATATAGTTTCCATAATTATTACTTTGGGCATGAACATTTAGAAGCATATTAACTTGTGGTATCCCTGTCCTCCATACCGCATGGAAGCTTTTGTCCTTTCTTGTTTTTTTCTCAAATATCCTTGAACTTGTATGTGTATATGCAAATATACGTTCATAAGCACATTAACATATACAGGTACATAGACCTTAGATAGCTTGGATTTTGTTTGTTTTAATATAAGTAAGATCCTAAACTTGCTTTTTCATCTTGCAGAATGTCTTGGAGGTCTTTTTATGTTACTACTGTTTTTTTTTTTTTAATTTTTATTTATTTATGATAGTCACAGAGAGAGAAAGAGAGGCAGAGACACGGGCAGAGGGAGAAACAGGCTCCATGCACCGGGAGCCCGACGTGGGATTCGATCCCGGGTCTCCAGGATCGCGCCCTGGGCCAAAGGCAGGCGCCAAACCGCTGCGCCACCCAGAGATCCCTGTTTTTTGTATCTACTTGATGTTTTTTTTCTTTTAAAGAATGTATATGTGTTAAACATAAAATATATACCATTTTAACCATTTTACAGTGTACGATTCAGTGGCATTTAGTACACTTACAATGTTGTGCAACCACCACCACTATCTAGTTCCAGAATGTTCTCATCACCCTAAAGGGAAACCCAGTACCCATTAAAAGCAGTCACTCCCCATTTCCCCCACCCCCAGTCTCTAGTAAACACTATTTTGCTTTCTATCCCTAGGAATTTGCCTACTCAGAATATTTCAGGCAAATAGAATCATACAATATGTGGCCTTTTATATCTGTTTTCTTTCAGTTAGCATTGTATCTTCAAGGTTGATAGCATGTGTTAGAAGTGCGTTCATTGTTATGGGTGAATAATAATCTCTTGTGTAGATATACCACATTATGTTTATCCATTCATCAATTGATGGATGTTTGGGTTATTACTACATTTTGGCTGTTGTGAATAGTGCTGCTGTCGACATTTGTTTTTTGTTTTTTTTTAATTTTTTTTATTTATTTATGATAGTCACACACAGAGAGAGAGAGAGGCAGAGACACAGGCAGAGGGAGAAGCAGGCTCCATGCACTGGGAGCCCGACATGGGATTCAATCCCGGGTCTCCAGGATCGCGCCCTGGGCCAAAGGCAGGCGCCAAACCGCTGCGCCACCCAGGGATCCCTACTGTCGACATTTGTGTACAGGTTTTTGTGTAGACATATATTTATTTCTCTTGGATACATACTCAGGAGTGGAGCTGCTGGGTTAAATGGTTATTCTATGTATAGCTTTCTCAGGAATTTCCAAACTCTCTGTACCATGTTCTATTTCCACAAGCAGTGGCCTAGTGTTCCAGGATCTCCACTTCCTTGCCAATCCTTGTTATTTTTTACTTTTTAAAAAAAATTTTTAGATTTTTTTATTTATTTAATCATGGGAAACAGACAGAGAGAGAGAGAGAGAGAGGCAGGCTCCATACAGTGAGCCTGACGTGGGACTCCATCCTGGGTCTTCAGGATCACACCCTGGGCTGAAGGCAGCGCTATACCACTGAGCCACCCAGGCTGCCCCTAGCCCTTGTTATTTTTTATTGTGTTTTGTTTTGTTTTTTAATGATGGCCATCTTAGTTAGTGTAAAGTTGTAGCTCATGGTCTTGATTTGCATTTTTCTAATGACCAGTGACATTGAGCATCTTTTCATGTGCTTATTGGCCATTTGTATCTTCAAAGAGATGTCTATTCTGGTTCTTGGCCCATTTCTTAAATTGTATTGTTTGTCTTTTTGTTGTTGAGTTGTAAGAGTTCTTTATGTATTCTGGTTACTAGACTCTTATCAGATAAATGATTTACAAATATTCTCATCCATTCTGTGGGTCTTTTCAGACTTCATTCTTTTAAGTGGCTGAGGACCATTACCTGGCATTCATGAACCTCATATTTAGTTATCTCTGTTAGAGATAGGTTTTTCCCCTTTGCTTTTTTTTTATTATTATTATTTTTTATTTTTTATTTTTTTTAGAGAGAGACAGAGGGGAAGTGCAGAAGGAGAGGGAGAGAGATGCTGGGCTTGATCTCATGACCCTGAGAGTTGAGGGTCCTACTAAGCCACCAAGGCACCCTTCCCCTTTGCTCTTAAAGGTACAAATTGATGTTTGATTTATTACAATAAGCTTTTTTTATTTTATTTTTTTTAAGATTTTATTTATTCATGAGAGACAGAGACAGAGACACAGGGAGAGGGAGAAGCAGGCTCCATGCAGGGAGCCCGACATGGGACTTGATTCCGGGTCTCTAGGATCATGTCCCGGGCTGAAGGCGGCGCTAAACCGCTAAGCCACCAGGGCTGCCCACAATAAGCTTTTTAAATTAATTTTTTCATCTAGCATGGTGCAAAAAAAGAACAGAAACTGAATGAACTCCCTAGATCTATATTCGGTCTACTTATGTGCCTGCCTTTTTAGACAATAGGACTGCTTACTGGTCACATGTTGTGCTTATGCCTTAGAACATTTTTTTCTTGCTCTTACTATTTAATGTAGGATTTTTCTAACTAAGTTAAATATTTATAATAAAATAACACCACAGATTGATAGCTTAAAGCACAGAATGAAAGGAGGACAAAATTTCTCTATGTACAACTGTTTCCTTTTTCTAGCCACCTGGTGGTTTTTGGTGGGCCTAAAGATAATCTAGTTTGTCAGTGCAGGCTCTGAGGGTGGCCACTTAACCGCCCTGCAGATTGTTTAAACGTTTCCTTTTATAAAAAAAGCAACAATTATTTTTAGTGCTGTTAAGATAATACTGTGATTAATGAGATGGTATACCACCTAGGTGCATAATAAAAGAAGGAGACATGCACACTTGGAATTGAACCATGAAATTACATTTAGGAATTATTTATGTGAAAGTATGCTTTTGGGTGGGGGCTGTCCAGAAATACTTCTTTCAAACAGGGTTTTGTTTTGTTTTAAGATTTTTTATTTACTTATTTGAGACAGAAAGAGAGAGCAGTTAGTGAGAGAGAACACGAGTTGGTGGGGAGGGGCAAAGGGAGAGGGAGAAGCAGACTCCCCATTGAACAGGGAGCCCAGTGCAGGGCTCAATCCTAGGACCCCAAGATCATGACCCAAGCCAAAGGCATATGCTTAACTGACCGAGCCACCCAGGCTCCCCTCTTTCAAACAGTTTCACATCCTTTTGTTTCCTTTCTTTCATGACAACACCTCCGTGAGAAAAGTCAGACATTATTCTTATTTTGGTGACTGAGGAACAAAGGCAATTGAGTGGGAGGTGGTGGGTGCCTCTGGTTAAGAGCACAGGATTGGCATTGGGCTCAATCCTGCAGTACCTATGAATGACATGACCTCTTGAAGCCTCTGTTTTTATATCTATAATCAAAGGAGATTATGATAATAATAGTTAAGAGGGGTGTTGGAGGCCAAATGAGACAGTGTTTGGGAAGTGCTCAGTGTAGCGCCTGGCTCATGCGGAGCCCTCAACCAGTGGGAGCCCTGGTCCCCCAGCCAAGAAGCAGGCACCCCATCTTTTGCTCTCGCTGTTCTCATCATCAGCTCAAAGTACGTACTTTGTCCTCTTTATACAACATTCTCACTTCCTTCTGTATTCAAAGAGAACCAACCACATGGTAGCAAGATACTTTGTGTCAACATGTTATGTTGCAGTTATTTTTACATAAAAGTGATTGATTTCATTGACTTCCTTCTCACCATTCAAGTTTTCTAGTTGATTACTTCAAAAAAGTTGAAGACCATTTCTTAGAATCAGAGAGATTTGAAGAAATGATTGTAGAAGGCTTAACAGGCTAGAAAAACTGAAGATATCTGTTGCTCTTTCAGTGACCACTGGAAAACAAAGTAGTCCAGGCATATGAAGAAATATGGAGACAATGCTATAAACACTGTGAATCTGTTTCCAGGTTAAGAAATAAGAGATTGAAAATACAACTGCAGTTTGTGTCACTGTCCCTTGTACATTTTCCTGGCAGCACCCCCCAGAAGTAACCATGGCTTTGAACTTAAAACTGTGCTGTTTTAACAATGTCTTATTTTTTCCCCGCAGCTATCTGCATCATATTGGTGCATTTACTGATCCGATACAGATTACATTTCTTGCCAGAGAGCGTTGCTGTTGTTTCTTTAGGTAAGTGCTTATCAGTGATCCTATAAGAAAACCAGTAACAATACCATTTTTTGAGTGCCTCCCTAATGCCAGGAACCACATGAGATATGATATATTCCTGATTTCATTTAAATCCTCACTGCCATCTGTCATGAGGGTATTGTGATCCTATTTTACAGATGAGGACACTATAGCTCAGAGAGGGGTGATGATCTCCTAAAAGTCACATAGACCCCCCTCCCCCCATATTACTCAAAGGCCTTTCTGTTTCTAGAACTACCTTTGGGGCACATTGACTGTGTTACTAGGCTGTGCAGACCTGCAACTCAACTAAGGCAAGCAATTGATGCTTAATTCATAGGGTCATTGAATTTTACAACCTGAAGGGACTCTCACTTTATGGTTTAGGAAGGAGAAGTGGCTCACTTCCATGTCAGTCAGATCTAAAGTCTTCTGGAGCATTCCATTCTACCTCACTTACATTTCTCTCTTGTTTCCTGCAGCAATTAATTGTTAAGATAATTAGCCTCTGTATGTCAACTGTCCTTCAATAATAAATATTAAAAGAAAAAAGATAATTAGCCTCTAGAGGCTAATTTAGTATCTACTGATACTAAATCGGTATCATAATAGATACAAGCTTACATGAAAGTTAATTGAAATGGTTAATGAAAGTGCAGGGACCTTAATTTTCAGTAAGTATTAAAATCAAGATGAAAATGTGGGTGGGGGTACTTAAGGCATAGTATATAAGTTTTCAGTAAGGTCAGCTAAGACATTCATCAGTTTGTGATATTGTAGTTACTCTTACTAGTTTCCACTTGCCTACTAATGATATTTAATTTTTCCTTATCTCCACTGATGCTCTACTTAATTTTCTTTGCCTTGTGAGTCTTATTTAGCATATTTAGTAATAATTTTACAGTACAGCGATGGTTTAGGTTAGCTTTGGAGATGGAACATTCAGACTTTGATTCACCTTCTTTTGTCACCATCTGCATTCCTACTACCCTGGTTCAGCTCCTCCTGTGTTTCCCCTGGGCCTCATGTTTCTACTAAGTGCCAGGTTCTTGCCCATGATCTTTTTTGCATTGCCCCCTCACGTAAGCCTCATAACTCCCTAGTGATGCCATATCTTAAGGAAGAGACACCACTGGGTGGTACTGATCTTCAGTAAATAATTGAAAAACAATTTTACTCAAATTCCTGTTCTCTATTTAGCAGGCTCTTGAGCTGCACATCCTGGCAGATTCGAACAACCTTCACTAACAAGATAGTTTTCGAGCTCTAAGAATGGGATGATCATTTATTAACATCCCTTTCCTGCTATCAGGAACATTGAATATAACCTATACAACTAATAACCTATTCAGGGACATTCAGTAAAGACTTAAAACATGACTCCAAGGAGTGTACAGTTTTGTGGTCAGTTTTCATAGTTTCTCAGAATAAGAACTATAGTTGGTATGCATTTAGGTACTATGCACATGGAAATGATGGTTCTTATAATTTGGTTTGGAATGTCATGTTCTTCACTCTTTGAATGTTTGGGTAAGTGCAGGTCAGCGAACACCAATGCTTGTATTAGGAGTTACAGCAGACATTGTTGGTTGCCTACCCAAGAGCCATGTCACCCTTCCTTAAAAATAGAACTCTAATTTTGATCAGGTATCTTGCCACAGTGCACTGAAGAAAGATAGGCCCATCCAGGTCAAGACTGGTCTTTATGCCATCATGATAATTCCATTCCCCTTTACCATTGATGGGTTGTACAGGGTGAAGGCAGCAAGGCAGTGGGAAACCCTGTTCTGGCCTGTGAGACCATACCTCTGATGCTGTCATGTGAGGATATAATGCCTGGAGCACTGGTAGATGTCTTGTAATCACTGGCTCAAAGACAAAATCCAGAATCCTAAGGATTGCCAAGGGGACAGATGGGAAACCTGGATTCTTGACTGCAGTGTTGTTTTATTGAATTGATAGTTCTAGAGCTGCCTGTTATATGAAATAACAAACATCTGTGGCTTAAGCCATTTTTATGTGGGTGTCCTTTTACTTGCAGCTAAAAGCATCTTAACTGATACAGGACTCTTCCTATTTAAGGGACAATATTAATTGAAATTGATTCAAAGAAAACAAATTGGTGGGGGTGGAGTTGCATACGCAGTGGCCCATGGAACAGAAAACCTACAGGTAGCACTAGCTTCAGACTTAGCCAGATCAAGTCTCTTGGACTGTTTTTCTTCATTTTTCAACAGTGCTTCCTTCCCTTTGTTTTGGCTTCACTCTCAGGCAGGCTCTCTCCTGAACCCTAGCTTCAGGCCTGCTCTCCTTACCATAGCAATCACAGTGGGAAAAGTAGCCTCTTCTTCTCCCTCTTTCCACCAGAAGTTGTAGGATGAACTCTGACCTCATAGCCTCCCTAGCCTGGACAGGATGGAATGGTGTTGGGGATTGGCCAAGGCTCTCTATCCACAGGGTTTCTTTCTTCACTGATAGAGCAGAAATAACGTGGCATGTACAGCTAGGTCATGGGAAAGTTGATGGAAAGTAAGTCTTGCTTTCAAAACTTCCGGTAGCTAACTCAGGTGATTAGAACGCTGAGAACGGTTCCAGGGAGAGTGCTGGGGTCCAGAAAGTATTTTTTATTATGTTAGAGGACATTTGGTTAGAACTTAGAAATGCTGACAAAGCTATCAAAATAGTTCTGTATTTCATAAAGCCATGTGAATTGAAGGAAAACTTTTTTTCTCATTAGAGCAAAGTGTAATAAAATATTGAGATATCCCCCATTTCAATAATTTCCAAGTTTTGTGCCAAAAAGAATCTAGATGAAGCTGCCAGAGAAAAAGGTTTTCTTTCTTTCAGGGATAAACTCTCCCAGCCTACCTCTTCTAACCCAGAGTTGCTTTTCAGTTTACAGTCATGTAGAGACATGATTAGCCTTTGATGTTAAACATTCAGAGTTCCTGGGGCACCTGGATGGGTAAGTGGTTGAGCGTCTACCTTTGGCTCAGGTTGTGATCCTGGGGTCCTAGGGTCCTGGGATCAAGTCCCAAATCAGGTTCCCCACAGGAACCTGCTTCTCCCTCTGCCTAAGTCTCTGCCTCTCTCTCTCTGTGTCTCTCATGAATAAATAAATAAAATCTTAAAAAAAAAAAAGTTGGTATAGAAAAGGACTGTCTGCCTTTAAAAGCACATTTTCCCCTTCTATTTTATTGTGTTTTCAGATGAATCTCCAGACTTTTCTCATTTTTTTTTTAAAGATTTTATTTATTTCAGAGAGAAGAGAACATGAGCATGGTGTGGGGCAGAGACAGAAGCAGACCCCCTGCTGAGCATGGATTTCTCCACCCCCCCCCCCAACATGATCAGGACCCTAGCCTCATGACCTGAGCCAAAGGCAGACAGTTAACTGACTGAGCCATCCAGGCATCCCAACTTTTCTCATTCTTTATAAAAAAGTATCAACATGAAATTTTAAAGATATTTCCTTGACCCTTCTTCAAAGCTTTTGGATACTTTCTATACCTAGGGAATTCTGTAGCTTAGGCCTTTAAACCCCCCCCCCCTTTTTTTTTTTTTTGCACAAAGAACTATACAGAAAAAGAAAAATCCTTTTCATTGATAACTTCAGCTATTTTTATTATTAGGCTTTGTTCTCTTCCAAACCATTTGTAGGCATATATGTGGAGATTAGATGACCTTACTTGGTTTGAGTTTTTATCATTTTTGTGTTCTTTCCTTTTTACCACCCTTTCCATATTAAGATATGTGAACATACTAAGTTCACATATTTACTTTTATTGGTGCTGATTGGCTATTTTGGGCTGAATTTATAAGGAATAAAAATGAAATAATTGTACTGCTTACTATCTGCTACTGCTTACAATCTTTCCAGTAGCAAAACAGGAGATTCCCACCCCCTCCCCCCCAACATATTTTTAGAGGAAAAGTCAGAAGGGGTCAGATACGGACTGAAAATTTGCCCCATCCAAATGCCAATACGCTGATAATTAGGAAACCCAGATTTGATGGAATCATTGACTAGGAAACACCGAAGTGCTCCCTTGTCATCACCTTCTTAACTGTGTGCCTTTAGTTTTATTAACTCCTTCTTGTTTTAATAACTAAAAGATTTTAGATTTCTTTATTGAGTGCTCCTTTAATTGAGTAGAAAGGAATGAAAAATCACTCAGTCCCTGAGTTATTGACTAAAAGTAATTCAGGAAAAAGCAGATGTAGTAATGATATTCTAATTGTACTTAAGTTCTTAAAAAAAAAGTTTTTTTTTAAGACAAAGGGAGAATCCTAGCTGTAACAGTTTCTGTTCCTTTTTAGACTATTAAAGTTTAACCAGTGCTGACGTAGCTTACAGCGGCTCACAGGGAACTCTCACTGAATCTGCAGTGCCATGATTTTCATTAGAGAAGAAACAGGCATTCATTTGCTGGTGTTAGAGTAGTGGTCTTAGAGGCAGAGGCCAAAATTGGTTGTCAAATTGACAAAATGGTCACATTAAGCTCAGGATTTTCAGGGCTGTTGTATTCCAAGGAAGAGTGCTAGCACAGACTTTTATTAGTTCCTGGATGTATGGGTCAGAAGTGATGAGGTCCTCTTGGAACTCCTGTTGTTCTTTTACTGCTGTGAACTAAATGTGTGCTCGGTCTGGAATAACTCCCTTTTTTTTCCTGGAGTCTTGTTTGGACTTTCCTAGTTTTATGGTCTCCTTCTCTTAGTGGAGCATTTTATCATCCGTATGTTGTATTTTATACTTCAATCTTCCAGTTACGCCAGAGTAGGGAGATAAGCTCAAATTTAGAATAAGAAAGATTGTTAAATAATTGTATTCTGAAAGTTGCTATATTTGGCTGATTTCTTGAATTTCCTCCTTCACCACCTAAATGTTCTCCTTTTTGGTGGAAAAAGGAATAATGTTCCTCTGAAAATGTGAGCTACTTTAAAAACAAAACATATAAAACACGCTTTCCCCAGAAAACAAACAGCCCTGAAGTATGGAT